CGGGTTGCGACCAATTCGGGGTGCGACCAGAGTCACGGAACGAATTAAGTTCGTAAACCGAGGCAGGCAATGTACTGTGGAATGTGTTTACATAGCAATGTATTATTTTAATTAGTAAGATAATTAAACTGTTTCAGTCACCTCATATAGTTCTCCTTGCTTTCTCCTTTAATGGTTCATTCAATGGTCTTTACAAATTAGTAAACAACATCTTTAAAAAATAAGGACAATATGGTCCAAAATGCTACTCTGAGGTTTTAAAAAAACCCACAACACTTGTATAACTTGTAATCATTCCTCCTCTCTATCTATGATGAGGAAATCATGCACAGTAAAAATGGTTTTACTAGCATTTTATGGCTGGAGCATTTCTGAATATTCATTTGTACTGAATTGACAGTAGGCTGTGTCTCAAAAGACTCTCTTAACTTCCCGCCCTGGGGACCTGGGCTGGGCTGTAGATAATGTAGCATGTGGTTTACTAAATCTAAACCTGCTGCTACCAGCCTTCTAAAAGGCCAAATTTTAAAAAATAAGTGTTATACAAGCACCTAATATAAATAATAATTTAGATAAACGTCTATTGCATGCATTCCTACATTTGGGATGAACAAACCCATTGGTCTGTTTGCAGCCAAAACTGACCTCAAAGCTGATATTATCATTTAATGAAGAGCTCTGTGGTTTAACCAAAAAACACACCAATATTCACACTCGGTGTAGAAAATAATCCTACAACAGCAGCAAAGGTAACAGAGATGAAACCAGAGAATTAAAATGGAACAAAAGAAGAAAAAGAAATTAATCACTTCCAATGTTTTATTGCTACTTTTGCAGCACAGAGGGAAAAGTCAAACTTTTTAATTTGTTGCTGCTGTCTAAAGAGAGCAAAAAAGCCAACTTGATTTACCGTGTAGAGCTCATTCAGGACTTTCATCAGGTCTTCTTGGAGCTGCTGCCCAACTTCTTTACTCTGCAATACAAAAGGAACAACAGAAAACTAGCTGGAAGAAAGGGATGGTGGATGCATGCATGTTACAACACTCACAAATATGTCAGACACAATTAGCTGCTATTGAAATTGGCACAGCCACTTAGCTCCAATTATGCCCAAATTAAAGAAACATTTTTAATAAAATGAAATGGGCTGTGCCCAAAGCCAGCCAAATACTGGTACTGTTTTGGCAAAGGAAAGCAATAATTTCTACAGAAAACTAGTTCCACTGTTTCTTGAATGTTGAACCATGGTAATTGAATTTTAGCAGGCAGGAAGAAAGGAGTTTGGGGAACTGAGTACTGTGCAGCCAGAGAATGCAGTGACCTTCACAGCTATCAACTAATCTGAAACAGCCTTATGTGCTCCCAAAACATCAGTGGTGCCTCTGTAATCCTAGCTATATTTTAGCACAAGGCGGTCCCTGTAAGTCATAGCTTCACAGCATAACTGGAAGCCCTAAAGTCAGGAGCATGTTTAACCCTGCTTCTATCAGTCACAGAGTAAGTTGGGTATGAGTAAGCATAGTAGAACACATTCACTTATCTTCTAGAGTTCTCCTTCACTCCACTTCTTAGAGTGAAGAGTGCAAGCAGTCATATTACTTGTTTTGGCCAGAGGAGATTGCCCAGAGGGGGTGACACTTACATTCCTGTAAGCAAACAGTTCAGAGTCTATCCATCTCCTTATTTGATAAACCTTTGCTCTACAGGCATTCATTAGAAAACTTAACTTTGAAGGAACCACACATATATGTGGGAGTTTAATGCACGGCTAATTCTAAATGCAAAGTTTTCACTATGTTTTGTAATAAAACATGTTTATAAACCCAGCTAAGTAAAGCAGACTTTTTTGAGATAAATGCACATCTGATTACTTCATGGAGATGTCCAATGGGCATTGGTTTTCCACTGCCTTCTTCCAGAATCATCTTCTACTTTCCAGTCTAGCTTATTGTTCTGAAATTTCCTAATTTAGTCCCACCCTGTTTGACTGTTTGAGATCATATAGGTAAGCTAGGTGCTGTCACCAGTTGGGCACTCATCCAACTATTATTAAATTATGAATCTGTGTACATCAACACTTCATTTTGTGATTAAAAAAGGGTTATAATGAGGTGAAATCCATACTATTTCAGTCAAAATCTGTCTGGTTCTGCATTCCTGCTGCAGGTGATATTGTGGGGTTCAGGTAAACTTGGGTGGAATTTGCAACATGAAATCACTCCATCAGTTTCAAATTTGGGCATGCTCTAGATGTATGGACTTCTACTGACAGCATTCTCCAACCAGCATGACCACTGCTGAGAAGACTGGGCTCTAAAATCTATACTTTCAGAGGATACTTAGATTCAGGAAGGTGGTCTAGGCTAATGTCACCATGCAACCCTGGGGTCCCAGATTCCCTACTGCTACTCAGACTTGTTCCACTTGTTCATAGTAACTTTATCAAAGAAGAAAAAAAGCATTCCATTAAAGGTTATGGGACTGACAAGGAACATATTTAAATGTTTCCCCTGTTAAATTGCTTTACATATGACAGATGAAAAAAAACACCTTAAGATAAATTACAGATTTTCTGTAGATCAGTAAATACCCATGGAGACGTGCTTAGCTATAAACTCTTTTGATTACATCTATTAGAACCCGAAAGGAAGTCTTGCTTTTTCATAATCTCTGCTGAGTGTACTTTGTGCAGTTTACAAGATCTGCTATTTTCCTTGCTTCAGACTACAGTTTCAGTGCCAAGATACAACACAAAAGAAACCCCACCCAATGTACTTCATATTCATACACTCTCAGCATGCCTTCCAAGACTCAGATGTGTCATTGTCCTCACTTCACAATACTGTCATCTATTTTTATCAGCAAAGAATCATAATATGGTTATGGTTGTATAGATACACAACATTCCATAGTGAGGAGAGCCTGGACTTCTGAACTACCATGTTAAATCCAAGGCAACATGATTCATGCATTTGTTTGTTTTAGTAAGAATTATTAACATAAGAAACTAATAAAAGAAAATTGCCCCCAAATTTGATGGATTGTAAAACGGACCTGCCTAAATAACAAAACCATTCTTAAAAGTAAATGTTAATCAAGTATTAATAAACTATTCTTAATTGGTTATATAATCCACACCCAGAACTACTAAGTAAAAGAATATCTCTGTTCAATTTTTATAGTAGCACCAATACATTTAAAATCAACTTTACTAAAACCTATTCAGAAGCTTCAGACTGAGGCACTATGACTTCTGATTCCTACACATTAAGCATGGAGATGTTTATTTATGAAATGTACAAACTGCTTTAACCTCAGCGGACTCTAAACTGTGAATAAGAGGAATAGCAATGTAGATAGTGCAGAATAATACAGTAAAACGCAATAAAACACAATATAAAACCTAAATAATAATAATAATAGTAATAGTGATGATGATGATGATGATGATGATGATGATAATAATTACATCTGGTATTAACAGGTCTAGAACAACAGACCTCATAAACAAACTGGGATTATATATTGTATTTCCGTTGTAGTTACTATTTCCATAACCTGCCCCATGTGGAAGAAAAAATATGAATAAACATTAGGTACGTATCTTCTCTTTTCATATGAATTCTATTCTGTCTGATTTTTAGCAACCTTTGAATGATTTGTAGCTGTCTGTTCACCTAACAGAAAAAGATGCAGAGATATATACACATATGTGCAGTGCACCCATGTGTACACATGAGCATACATACACAGAGGACTTCTATTGCACAACTTTTTACTGTCCTGAAACAATGTTTTCACTTTCTAAAGCACAAAAATAGCAGTATCAAAGACCAAGAGAAGTCTCTTTATATTTATTGAACAATAGTTTATAATTTTTGCACAATTATGCAATCCCACCATTGAATGAATGACACTAGGAAGACAATGAAACCAATAAAAGAACAATTAACACAAGCAGATGTTTCCTTTCTTCCTAACAACAGTTCTGAGAAGGGATGTATCATGCATTATCCCTGTTTATTTCAAGAGCCTGCTGAAATGAGTGTGACTACTGCTTTAGTCCTGATTCCCTACAGAGACTTATATTGTGCTTTATAAAGAGTGTGAAACTTTATGTTGTTTAAAATAAAAGGGGCCTTTGGAAATCCAAAGCTTTGCCTACACTGAGGCACAATCCGCAACCACTGAGTGTAAAAGTCATCCAAGATTACTATACAGTACTGTGTAAAAGAAGCCGGAACAGTAGATCTCTGATTTACAGGATATTACATCTTTTAAAAAATATAAATAGCCACCTTAAAGCATGACAGAGGAGGAAACCAGGTATATTATGAAGAAGTTTCCTGAATGAATCTCTGAGTATGAGGAGAAAGAGACAATTGTTGACCATATGAAACCTGGTAAGGCCTGACCCTTACACCTTTCCCCTTAAACAGAAGTTGGCTCTTCCCTAGAATATTATAATGGAAGGGCAGATAAAGACAGGGAAAGATATTGGAAGCAAAAGCAAAATAAGAAAATGCTACTGCCTAGCAGCCAGAGAAGAAATCTAGGAATTGTGATAAAGAGGTCAATAAAAATGAGCTCAGCTGTGGGGGGGAAAAAGGCAAATTCTGCGGTATGGACTGTTAGGAAAGGGACTGAAAATAAACATGCAAAATTTTGTAATGATCGCACCAAAACAAAACACCACCACACAATTTTAAAAAGGCATTTTAGAACTGGAAAAAGAGCAGAACAGATCAACCACTATAAGTAAAGGTTTAAAACATTTTCAAAGTTTTGGTTTTAAAAAAAATAATTAAGAAGAAGAAAAAAGCAACAGAAGTTACACATTTTGCAAATCTGGAATAATTTAGTTGGGTCACCCAGCAAAAATGACTAGCATGAGATACAGAGCAGAGCACAGAAAATACTTGATTACACAATTCAGTTAATTTTTGGAATGCGCTGGCTGTAAAATATGCTCTTGCTTATGGAGAACTGAATATTCAGTACACTGCAATGAAAAGTTGCTACGGCTAGCATGACTGTTGATAGATCTGTTTTCCATAAACAAGAGATTAAAGCTATTTAATCATTAGATGACAAAGGAGAAAAAAGGGATGCTCAAAGAGGATATGGAGATTGCATAATGAACTCTTTGCCTGAGTCTGCTCTGACTTGGAACAACTAAAGCAAACAGAGGTAACAACAGAACATATTATAGGACATTTCCAGAAAATACACAGTTAACAAATCTCTGGGTCCTGATGGCATCCACGTGAGAATTCTTAGAGTTCTCAAATCAAAAACTGCTGACCACTTAACAAAAATATCAGGCTTAGTGCTAGCAGACGGGAAGGCAAATAATGTGACATCAGTTTTGAAAAAAAGGCCCAGGAGAGATCCAGGAAATTACATGTCGATTCCAGACAAATAATCAAATCAAATAATGTAAAAGATAACCAAGAATATAGAGGAACAAACTTTACTGAATAGAAATCAGCAGGGATTCTATAAAAGTAAAGCATGCCTCACCAACCTTCTGGAGTTTTTTGAGAATATCAACAGGCATAGGGATGGAGATGGAGATGACCCTGCTGACACTGAATACTTGGGCTTTCAAAAAGTCTTTGACAAAGTTTTCCGCCAAAGACTTAGCAGTCATGAAATCAGAGGACCTGTCCTTTTATGGACTGCCAATTAGTTAAAAAACAGAAAGCAAGGAACAGGAATAAATGGGCAATTTTCTCAATGGAGGGAAGTAAAAGTAGAATCTTTCAAGGATCTTTGTTGGGACTGGAGCGTTTTAATTTGTTTACAAATGATCTTTGTTTAAGGTGAGCTGGCCAATGAGCTGGCCAAGTCTGCAGATAGTACCAAAGTAACCAGGATGGTGAAAACCAAAAAGGATTGTGAAGAGTTTCAAGTGGCAAAGTCAGTTCAACTTAATAAACGTAAAGTGACACACCCTGGAACAAAACCCCT